GCTTGCCTTGCATGCCTGAGGCCCTGGGTTCGATTCCCCAGCACCACATAAGCAAAAAGAAAAAAAGCCAGAAGTGATGCTGTGGCTCAAATGGTAGAGCACTAGCCTTGAGCTGAAGAGCTGAAGGACAGCACCCAGGCCCAGAGTTCAGGCCCCATGACCGAACCCAAAAAATATATATATATAATGAATTCAAGTATTCTGCACAATCATGATCCTTGCCAACTTTATGTCTTCATCTCCTAATATTCACTCCATTGTTGCTTTAGCTTTCTACCTCAGTATCTTTGTGTTTCCTACTCATTCTGCCTGGAATATGGCCCCCAAAATTAGTATGGCTTGTTCTTCATTGAATTATCCCCTTCTCCAAAAGGACTAGAGTGACCACCATATTTAAAATTATACTCCAAGGCCCAAGAAGTAGTTCAATGTTTGCCAGGAATGTGTGAGAACTTATGTTCTTTGACTAATGTTGCCAAAAATTAAAGTTGGGTTCACATGGCTTACATCTATAATCCTAGCTACTCTGGGGGCTCAGATCTGAGGATTGAGGTTCAAAGCTAGGGTAGGCAGGAAAGTCCTTGAGACTCTTACCTCCAATGAAACGCCAAAAAGCCACAAGTGGAAATATGGGTTAAATGGTAGAGCGCTAGCCTTCAGCAAAAATTCCAAGTTAGAGCTAGAGGCCCTGAGTTAAAGCCTCAGTTCTTGCACAAAAATTAAAAGATAAAACAAAATACCTCATATTCTGAGCACTCATAGTCTCCCTTTTGTTACTCTCTATTTCCTCATTTCCATGGCACCTGCCACTTTTCTAATAAACTTTACGGTTTTGTTATTAATGTTATTTACCAGGAACCTGTAGAATACATACTCTCCAAGATCATGGGATCTTTTTTTTGTTCACTGGTATCCAAGTACTTAGAATAGTAGCTGACACAGTGTATGTGCACAGAAGATACTTGTTGAATGAGTGAATAAGTGTTTCGTGAACATTCTAGACCCTTGTTACATCCTTACTGGGTGAATTGTCAGTTGAGAGAGTTGAAGATACCTTAGCTCTGGTATCTAGGTTTTTATTTGCATGGAAATACAAAGGCATGAAATTGGAAACAGTATCTGTGAAGAGTTTACCTATACAAGAATATCTAGTTGTAATTGCTAGGAGCTGAAGAGAAAGAATTGTGAGTGGTATTAGATTAAACCATATGAAATTGCCAATGTTTCATCGATGCCAAATGTTGCAAGGAGAAATTTAATATGTTTGCGCATAATAGGAGAAAGGAAAATTCATGGCCTAAAGACTGAGAGGAAATGAGAACAAGATGGGATCAAGCACAAACAGAGGCATTAACTTTGAATAGAACAAAGGACATAGCCTCAGAGACTGGAGGGTACAAAAAATACAGTTGGGCAGAGGAGAATTTACATGGTAGGCACCACACTTCGGTGGCAACTGTGTTCTGTGGGGGAAAATGTCAAGAATACTTTCTTGCTGGGAGGAACAATAAAACTTTAGTATTAGAACCTTTTTGTTTTGCAAAAATGATCGCAAGGAAAAAAAATGATCGCAAGGTAAAGACCAAATAAATATGATAGAAAGTAGAGCCACTGTGAGTGAGGAGGTGTGTGTAAAGTGAGCTCCAGTTATCTGTCTGATGTGCCTTCTGTAGGAAAGGTGCATGCCTGAAGAAAACATCTCCTGATTGCCAGAGAACTGCCTTTGTGAAATTCATTCATGTCAACAATTTTCTACAAGCAGCATCAGATTTTCAGTCTCCTGGTTTTGGCTCTGATGTCATAATCACTAACCTCTTACCCTTCTCTGCCAGAAAGATTGCAACTGTAATTTCCTGTCTTTGTGCAATCATAAAATGTCTGCCTTTATCTTGTTCTGGAAAAACTAACATCTCCAGCTAACCCTTGCTTTCCTTTCTGTACTTTTATCTTCTAG